GGGAGTTGAAGTCCACTCATTTTAAAGTGGCCAAGTTTGGACAACACTGCTCTAAAACAACCATCTTGAAATTTGCAATTGAGTATCCTGGGAGGTTAAAATCCTGTGATGTGACTTGGTCCTTGTTTTGAGTTGGATGTCAAACATGTGTTCATACATTCTTTTGTACAACGTTTGTCCTGTTTGTCCGATGTAGAATCCAGAGGGGCATTGCTGTCAGATGATGGCAATATATCGCATGGAGGAAAAGCGTGTGAAGGCATCTCTAATCTTCTGGCTGGGGAATTCTGGGAGTTGAAGTCCACACATCTTAAACTTGCCAGAGACACTGTTCTATAAGAGCATGGAGACCCTTCATTATCTGGTTAAATGTGCTTGACCTCTTTGTGGTTTGGCAACATGCCCAGTGGCTAACCTGCACATCTCTCTAGCATCTCCCATACATATCTGTGGCAAGTGGGATACCCAAAACCTTTCTGATCCATGGGAAATTCATTAGGGACTAGGAAGACCCTTCATAGCCAAGGTGGCTGAGACTGGGAAGGTGGGATGTACATCTAGAGAATATTTCTAATGTGATGAAACAGTATTCTAGTAAAGTTAGGACAGGAAAGAAGCAAGATTATCTAGCTCCTCTAACAGTTGAGAAGAAGGCATCTGACAAGGGTAACTTTGGTTCAGGGATGGAAAGAAACCACACCTCGCCATGCTTTCTCTTCGGTACAGCAGGTTAAGGCAAGAGTTGCAAACATCTGGGGGAGGGCAGTGAATACATTTGGAAGTTTGAGAACGTATTATGGGCACCGTCACCAAATGGCCACCATGGGTGGAAGGAGGGTTCGCATAATCACAAATTGGCTACCACAGGGGAATGGCCAGTCTGCAAACACCCATTTGTCAGAAGCTAAGTAGTTACTTAGTGTCATTGTTTTAGCTTCTGAGACGCTCTCCTCCAGTTTGTCATCATGTGGACTCACCTCCAACCAAAGGGTCAAACTGCGATAACGTTCCATTTTTATTTCCCAAGATAGTCTGTTGTCCTGATGGGGCCCAGAGAAATTCTGGGGAACCAAATTAATCCTGGAGCCTGGTGCTTTGGCGTAGCTTCACCTTTAGATTTTGGTTTAATTAAACAAATCTAAGAAAAATGATGTTAGGCGTGTGCATCTCTGAAGCTCTCTTTGGATACATTGGCAAATACAAGTGTTACTTTGGGGTCTTGAAGGAACAAGAGAGGCACTTTTACATATGATTGCCCAAAAGGAGGATGAGTAGAGCTTGGGAATATTGGAAGAACAAAGGATATATGAGTAAGAAAGAATGTATTGACCTTACATTGTTCTACCGTGACTCTTGTCAAAAGAAGGATGGATTCAAAGTGACAAGTCTTGAAAGGTATTTGGAAAAGGATGTTCGAGATCCAGTGGTTTGTTAGCATGAGTGGAACCTCATCCATCTTTTGTTGCTTGAAAATTTGGGAGTCACCTTTATTTCTAGAGCTCTTCCTTGCAGCAGTAAGTATTAAGCATCTGGCACAGAATATCATTCCACT